TACACAGGATTAGTCAGGGGAGAGTTAGAGAGGTCACGTGGCTCCCTAATCTTCTGTGAATAATTTGGTTGTCAAGAAAGGAACAAGCCCTAGCTGACAAGATGTATCTGTTAGACTAAAGTATGTCAGAGGCAAAACTGTACATTTATAGTTGGGGCCTTTTGTCTTAAACCCCACCTCCCAGGCCAGTGCACTCAGCAGTAAGTCTTTGGAAGAGTTAATGAAAAGGTGTTGCCCTCCCTCAATGGGAATTTAGCTTTTCTAAACTGGTGACAGAAAGATGAGCAATGGCTCATCAAATAAGAAACAAAAGTGACCAAACTGCCCGGCAGACTGTTCAAGAAACCTAATTAGTTGCACAGATAAGACAGAGAGTTCCTCTCCCTGTGATGTCTTGTGCTTACATTCCAATCCCATGTTTATGTTGGTGTTCCAGAGATACTGGTGCCGAAGTCTCTGTCCAAGGCAAGGCGGTCATTGATATAGATATCACTAATTTTGCTCTGCCAGACGTTTTGTTCCCACAAAGTCTGGGTACACAGTTGATCTCGGTCTGTGAAACCAGCCCTTAATGATTTGCAGTCTTTTACCTGAAAGGTGTTGGTGGGGGGAGTCTTATCGTTGATGAGATTTGAGGGCAAAAATTGCTTACCGTGGCAGGAAAAATTCAAGAGCCAAGTACACATTGCGTATTCATCTGCTGCTGGGTATTTTATGAAACAACCTTTGCAGAAAAATACTATGTGGTATTTTTCTCCTAATGTGATCGGACTAAATTATACATTCTGCCCTTGCAAATAAAAAAACAACAACATAAATGTTACAAGAATTATTACTGTTGCATTATTCTCCTAACCAGCCTTTTTTTTGCTTCAGTCATTATTCAAGATGTGCTCTACAGCGCATAGCTGTCTGTTATTAATATAATTGCAGCTTGTCCAATGCAAGTACTTTACAGTATTGTTCTGATGCGTGTTGCGATCATTCGTGCTTTCTGGTGCAGATGGGTAAGAGATCAATAATGAACGTGCATATTTTTAAAAATTTCACATTTGTACCGTCGATTTCTGTGAGCTTGTGGGAGTGTGGAGCAAGTTACCAAGGCATAGTACTGAAACCAATACCCTGGTCTCTTTCAAGAAAGAGCTGGTGGAGATCTTTGGATCAATACATTCCCGTCTACCAAACGAGCTAGCTGAGCCACATGCCCCC